GTTGGTCACCTATCACACGTTCCAGCCCCACGTAGCCGACGCGCGACGTAAGTGAAATATTTTTGCTTTGTGACTTCGATTTAATCGAAAGCGAATTCCAAACTAAAAAGACGAATCGTTTCTCCTCATTAAGAAACCGGAAAGTACAATGCGTACAAATCAGGTCAACTTCGAGGATTTCTCGAGGAATTTAAGAAGACGATGAAGAATGGAGATGCAAAACATGGTGTTCCTGTTCTCGACCCTTTCGTGAGCAAGCACGAGCATATAGATCTTAAGGAAAAGGGATTGTTCTCGTAAGCATATGTTTCGCGCATTAATTACGAAAAGAGAATCAAATGACATTAACCGACATCGATTTTCCCCTTTTTCGAACAGAGCAAAAGGAGACCTGGACAACTTACGCATAGCTGGTTTATCCGACTATCAAGTAAATCAAGGTGATTTCGCGATAGCTGGTCTTAAAGCCAACGTAGCTCTTCTATTCAGGCAAATTAACATTATGAGTAGCTACAATGTGAGTGGTACACTCATCGATGAAGTTTCCTACTACGGACGTGGAAACCTCGCGTAAGTTTCTCTCAATTATTTCCTTTTATACACGTTTTATACAATGAATATAATAGCTTAGCCAGCATGCAGAAGCGCGTAAATTTACAATACTCGATTCGCGCTTTATCTCCGATCTCTGTAAAACGTTTAGATCTTTTTAGAAAACGAATATCTTTTTACTACGCAAGTAACCGCATCTTTGAATAAAACGATAAAGCTTGGCAGCGCACCAGAGTTCGAAAAAACATTTATGTTCCGTCGAGAACACGCTCGCAGTCGGTTTTGCAGTTTCCTAACGTCAGTAAGCCAGTATTACCGAAACAGACTATCAACGCCCCCTGTAAGGAATTTCTATAATTTGCACATTGTATGAGCTACGTTTGATCGATATTTTCGAATCGCAATTGGGATTTTTCGAATTTGTAGGAAGTATTTCACCGAATGAAAAGCCAACTGAATTTTTTCGAATTTCAGCCTCGTCATTAGGCAACTTAATGTGACGGCAGACCTGAAACTGGGGGTAAAGAACGAGAGAATGCAAGTTTCGAACCTCGTAATCCATGCTCATGTAAAGGAATTCGACGTAAGTGTTGTATATGATTATAGTGCGGATTTTTATGCAAATTGATATCGTTATAGGCGCAACTATAAAAACAGAACTTGAATAGAGATCTGTCTTATCTTTAGAAACTATAACAAGTTAGATATTTTATACCTTCTTATACATGTTTGCATTATAAAATATCGCATAAATGCATAAAAATCCACAGTTTACATATAATCCTGCAACAACCAGTGCTTCGGTGCTCCTGAAAGCCCGAATGGCTAACTTTGAAATGTTTACAGTGCGTTATCACCGGATTATACGACGACGACAATTTGTCCAGAGTTATAAGCAGATCCATCACAAAGATGGTACCAGATTTACTCGAGAAGTATCAAAATAGAATATCGCAATACGTGAGTAAGGTTGCTACAAATGTGATGAACAACATTCTGAAACAGTATACGCTGAAGGACTTGTTGGACATAATTGGCCATTAATCGATAATTCTAAATATATTTCCCTACATCCAGCAAATAAATTGGAGTAAACATAAACCTCTATTCATTTCCTTGATTTATGTCGAAGCAATTCACTTCAGTTCAACCATAAAAAGGAGTGTGTCGAATACAAGCTGTGGCGGAAGTTAACCTTGGAAAATATTCGAGCTTTTAGCTGCGACTCCTTTCTTCGATCAGTCATTATCTCGCCACGGTAGATTAAGAAACGTTGCAAACTTTCCAGCAAGAAAGCGGCGATCTGAAAATTTGTTGGTAACCGATCAATTCTCGGATTTTCTTGTCTACTGTTTCATCCGTTAACTTGTTGCCCTTTCTCCACTAATCCACCTCAGATCTCCTAAATCCGCGATGCGTCTTTAATCGACGTAATTAGTTGAAAATCGATGGGAAAGATGTATCGAGAAAGATAAACTCATTTTCGGCGACGAACGAAGGGAACAGCATTATGATTCATTTTAGATGTCGATGTTCTGACCGTTCGCTGACGAATATACAGGTGTCATCGAACTGATGGAACAAACCGAAAGAAGACGGATATTCATGAAAAAATAAGTCGATAAAGTAGAGTGACATTCTTTTAACCGAGGATTTGGTTCCGAGAAGATCGAGTTCGAAAATTTGTCAAGTATACTTGAATTTGGCTAATTATCGACAAGGTGTGAGTAAACAATCAATGGAATAAATAAGTGAAATAAAATTTTTTCATTCGGGGCATCATTTTTAGTACACCTCTAACGAAGTCTTAATTCACTTTTGTTGGAAACAATGCGTATTGTGAAAATGGCTTATTCCGCACTTTCGACTTATTTTTTCGTGTAGAATCAGTACTTGCTAGCGTGTATCATTAGTTCAGTAACGGCCTGTGTTCGGCTTCGTAAAGTTCGCATAACCTCCAAATGCAGAAACTAGGAGCTCTCTGTTTGAAAGGAATTTAATTATATCACTTATAGAAAAATGAACTATTGACTTATGCGGTCTCTTTGATATCAACTGCGAAAGCACGGTGTTCCGAGAGTAACTTGGGCCAACTGAACTTCAACGTGTACCTTCCTTTGATGCCGATTAGTTACGAACTGTCAAGGTGGAAATTTCGAGACGGACTAAAATAAAAGTTTTTAAAATGTCGTGACTCTTACAGGAGGTTACACGAAATATTTCTCCTCTTTATGGTGCACCACGAGTTGTGACAAGAGCAACAAGTGTCTGTTGAATGAAATTTATTTGTTGGTTATCGAATCGCGAAAGAAAAGATTCTTGCGGATTGTAATGGTCGACATTGTCGCCGTATGAAACTGTTGAAGTAATTACTTCTAGCAAAACTTTACATCTTTTTCTTTCGTATACCCGTGATCTGGACATCGCCGTTGCGGAAAAGATAGAATTCAGTGAAGCAAAATATTTAAAAAAGTAGAGGACCATATTATTGCGTCCTTGAATATGAATGTTGTTTTGGATTACAAGATCTAGAAACAAAAGAGTTATAAGTAGATTTTTATTGCTGTTTCTTGTAACTTTCATCTAGAGTTACACACCAAGATTAATTTTTTGGTAATGTCCTTTGTTATAAATGTATCAACGTGCTCCCTAATAACTCCTATTGTAATGTAACACTGCTAGAGTAAGGATCTGGATCAGCATACACTAACCCTGTACCTACACTTACTTCAATATATATTTCTTTTACAGATTCATCCACGCGTTCCTCAATCAGATTACCTCAACAAAAAATAATTAAGCAATATGATTCACGTTGACAGGTAAAACGTTGATAACTTTGTCTCTGATCTGTCACGGTGTATCTTTTCCAAGAAGGACGATGATGTAATTGAGATTAACTATAACGTTATCAGCGCCTTATACGACTAAATGATAGGGTGAATCGTTTGCGAACGGGCACACGCATGATTCTCACGACAACGTACCGTTTAGTCCTACTCCGTCGATTTTCTTTTTTTTTTTCTTTTTGTTAAAAAATGAGAGGAAACACTTCGCACCGGAGGAAGAGAAGAAAATGAATTGATAAATAAATCGGCGGAGCTGTATAAATTGTCGAGAAACGTCATGTCTGGACGTGCAATCTGAAATTGAAGTTGGCCTCATACGCAGTGAGAAAATAAACGTTCTATCAGACAATGCCTACATCCGTGTGCTCTTTCGATTGTTGCAACCTGTTTTAATAGACTCGTGTCGTGTAGACAAAACAAAGATGCTTGCCGCGTTATTCCGCGAGGGAAAAGCTTTGAAACCGTAAACGAACGAAGAAAATAGGCGAACCTGAATTCTGCCAGAAATAGGTTTGAAACTTAATTCCCGTGATACACGGTGTAGCACGGAAAAGTGGCGAGGAAAAACGGGTCGATTCGAAGAAAACCAGTTGAATTGGAACGCGAAACAAGCGGCGGAGCAGACAGCTGACAATTACAGTAGTCGAATAAGCGAGACGGCTTCCTTCGAGGTACACCTGTGAATCTCACGAAAGTAAAAACGACCCGCACCGTCTAAGGACTAATCTCGTAACGGCACGGCGACTTCTTTTTTCACAACGTACAGCCGCCTGACACCCGGTATGTGCAGGCCAGGAACGCTTGTAAGTGGCGTGTGTGCCGTGTAATTACGAATTCTCCGTAAAGCGAGGAAAACGGGTAACATACCGTGAGGAGTTTCTCATTTCCGTTGAAACGTCAATATAGTCGCGGCAGATAGATATATACGGGGACAAAGGTTCGCGGTTGCCTCTCTGCCTTGCGTGAAAATGCTTTACCGGTTGTTAGAACGCGTGTCCGACCACCGCTAGGTAGTTTGTCGTTATTTAGATACAAGAACGATACGCGACTAAATCTAAGTACTTGAGTATATATGAATAAGGAGGATATCATACTCGCCGATAGATAGAATATAGGAGAAACTAATATTCTCTCTCCGATAATTCTGACTCGGGAACCTACAGGATGTAAAATAGAACCAATAACATCATGATTGGGTACTATGACCTTACGCGAGTTAACGTCGATTACACACAGCGTATGTTGTACTGTTTTAATTGCACAAGATTTCAATAAAGCCCACCGGTCATATAACCTTTCTCGGCTTTTTCGATGTCTCTTCTCAGAATGCGTATCGTCGTCTTAATCAGGAAACTCGTACTGTCTTGGATGCGTCTTAACACCATTAATTGAGGGGAGATTAATTTCGTTACGTACACTGTGATCTCGGAACTCTAATTGATAACATGACTGTTCTTTGAACTCTGTTCAAGAGGGGTTGATTCTTGACAAATTTTGCAAAACGACTACGAAAACCGTTCTGTAGCCGTATAATTAAAGGAGTCCTTATATACCCATATTTACAAACGAAATCCTTTCAAGTTTCTAGCTTGTGGACGCGATCATATCGATATATTAGTTGGACAACACGGAAAATACCGGCTACGTAGTAGTACTCCTGGTTTGTAACTTGTTAAGAGGCACGTAACGTTCGATGTCTGCGACCTACAATCTGGTCGATGGGTATTCTCCTTGAGACATGGCGTCGCATGAACGAATTATGTTTTGCTAGATTACGTTCATCGTCGGCACGCATAAAAGTTTTTCCCATGTGTCGTGGTTGTACGCGCGTAAATGCTGCGGGTCTGGCTACGATCATCCGGCATAATCGTTGCCACACGACACGAAACGACTGACCGCATACTCGAATTCGCAGAATGCAAGTCAGCGGCAGCCGCGTGTACACGAGTGAGCGTACGAAGAACGTTGTACCCGTTGCTACCAAATCGTAGACGATAAGCAACGTAGTAACAAATTGAAACGTTCGAAACTGTGTAACTCGCTGCCAAACATAGTGGTCATTCTATGCTATTCGATTCTCACACCTATGGAGAAGTTATTAATAATTAAAATCTTCAGACATTGAGCGATAGAAGAATAATGTCTGATATCTTGATTACGAGTAAAATAACCGAAGGTTTTATATCTTGTCCCGCGATCGTCCAATTATTTTCTTTAAATGTATTTACCTTTAAGATATTTCAGAAGTAACATTTTTTACACACAAAACATTACTTATGGATATTCTAACATTTTTACATAATTTTGCACGGAGTGAGTGTCTATCTACACCAAATCTGTCCACCAGAACGTACATATTTGGTCAAACCCTAGCATTCTTAAGATGTTGCTTTGCATTAGTACATATATTATAATTATTTATAGTCATTCTTAGTTTACGCTTAAGCGTTTATGTCTAATTCTCTCTTCCTTTCCTTCTCTTTTTTGTACAAATATAAACATACATTCACGTTTATTTTCTGCCAGAGTGTTTATCCTATAAATAGATAAATATATAAGTATGGATCATAATTTTCTAAGATCGAACCGAGCTTTCATTGTCTTAAATATTACATCGATGTAAAAGTATTGGAAGTAATTTATAGAAGTTAATATGGCATGCACGCATGCGATCATTAATATGCAGGAATTCGTTGAGCAATATCGCACGTGCCAGTTGCTTTCAAGAGAATCTTATCCGCACAAATTATCTGTTCGCGACATTGTTAAATACATTTATTTACAGTTTATCATATTCGTGGAAACATATTCTAATCTAACTTCTGTCGTAATCAAATATCTGTTGGAGCGGCCTCTGAACGGTCGAGTAGAGGGACGTAGAAGGAGTAGAAGGAGTGCTGTAAACTCGTACCGATTTGCCAAATATTTTATTGCAAAATACATTGCAAATGCATACAAAAATACGGACATTCTTTGGTTACTTATTTATACGCGTGTACACATCCACTCGCTATTCAAACCGTTTACTTTTGAGTGTCGAGTAAAAGCAATGTCAATAACGCAAGAGTCTCGCTCAAACGTGCCCACCTAGTTTACCACACGTTTTCTTTCAGAAATTTTGTCGTCACGAATAACAAGAAGAAGATAGTGTGATGTTAAGTACGTTTTTTCTCTTACCTTGGGAAAGCGTTCGATAATTTACGGATTCGTAATTTTCCTTCTAATCTAATCGTCGGCATATCTGCTTCGGCTAAATAGATTGACAACGTGAGAATAAATCTAATGGACATTATGTCAAATTGATGCTGAAACGAGAATTTTGTAAGAGATGTATCGATTTATCGATTGCATCAGAGAAAAGCGTCCTCTAATTCCTACGGATATATCTCGATTAAACGTGTCATAACATTTGCGTGGCATGTGCGTAGCTTGGATAACTACCGAATCGCGTATGAAAAAGAAAAAGAATCGGCTATACCTTTTTGGGAGAAACACAACGGGCAGTTTCACGAAATCGTAGCACAATCAGTGTCTCGTCGAAGATGGCCGAGGAGAACCGGAAGCAACCGAAGAGCGCATGGCAACAGGCGGCTCGTTTTAAACTCGTGGTCCGTGCTTTACTGGAAGTTATCAAAGCAATGGGCTGACAGTTAGCCGTCGACATTCAGAGTGGGTGTATCGTTTGTATATTACATTGAATATTACTTGATGAACATAAATTATGCTACGACAGTTCTCCTAGGTTTATAAATAGATAAATATATAAGTATGGATCATAATTTTCTAAGATCGAACCGAGCTTTCATTGTCTTAAATATTACATCGATGTAAAAGTATTGGAAGTAATTTATAGAAGTTAATATGGCATGCACGCATGCGATCATTAATATGCAGGAATTCGTTGAGCAATATCGCACGTGCCAGTTGCTTTCAAGAGAATCTTATCCGCACAAATTATCTGTTCGCGACATTGTTAAATACATTTATTTACAGTTTATCATATTCGTGGAAACATATTCTAATCTAACTTCTGTCGTAATCAAATATCTGTTGGAGCGGCCTCTGAACGGTCGAGTAGAGGGACGTAGAAGGAGTAGAAGGAGTGCTGTAAACTCGTACCGATTTGCCAAATATTTTATTGCAAAATACATTGCAAATGCATACAAAAATACGGACATTCTTTGGTTACTTATTTATACGCGTGTACACATCCACTCGCTATTCAAACCGTTTACTTTTGAGTGTCGAGTAAAAGCAATGTCAATAACGCAAGAGTCTCGCTCAAACGTGCCCACCTAGTTTACCACACGTTTTCTTTCAGAAATTTTGTCGTCACGAATAACAAGAAGAAGATAGTGTGATGTTAAGTACGTTTTTTCTCTTACCTTGGGAAAGCGTTCGATAATTTACGGATTCGTAATTTTCCTTCTAATCTAATCGTCGGCATATCTGCTTCGGCTAAATAGATTGACAACGTGAGAATAAATCTAATGGACATTATGTCAAATTGATGCTGAAACGAGAATTTTGTAAGAGATGTATCGATTTATCGATTGCATCAGAGAAAAGCGTCCTCTAATTCCTACGGATATATCTCGATTAAACGTGTCATAACATTTGCGTGGCATGTGCGTAGCTTGGATAACTACCGAATCGCGTATGAAAAAGAAAAAGAATCGGCTATACCTTTTTGGGAGAAACACAACGGGCAGTTTCACGAAATCGTAGCACAATCAGTGTCTCGTCGAAGATGGCCGAGGAGAACCGGAAGCAACCGAAGAGCGCATGGCAACAGGCGGCTCGTTTTAAACTCGTGGTCCGTGCTTTACTGGAAGTTATCAAAGCAATGGGCTGACAGTTAGCCGTCGACATTCAGAGTGGGTGTATCGTTTGTATATTACATTGAATATTACTTGATGAACATAAATTATGCTACGACAGTTCTCCTAGGTTTTGATGTTCATTATCTTTCGTCTTCCAAGAAATAGTACGCGATAGGATTTACGGTTTGTTTCCGAGTGATGGGTGTGATAGGTATCTCTTCATAAGTGTCGAAGCATCGAGACGTTCATCGAAATGTTGGATGAAATCGACGGATAGAAGAAGTTTGTGTAAATTCGAGTTTAAACGTGGCATAATATTCGCATGGCATGTACATAATCTTGAAAACTGCTAAAACGCATATAGTAGAAAACCAGCTATACCTTTTTTGGGAGAAATAGCGGACGCTGACACGCGACCGTGGCACAGCTGTAGAATTGAGTTTCTTGAATCACGACTGCCGAATTATCACCCCCTGTAATAAAGAACGACCAAGGGAATTAGCGTTGTTGCTTCTTTATCTTTTAATTATTTTTTTATTAATCACGTGGGGCGATTGTATATCGCGCAGATAAGATATTAATACATGAAATAAGAGACATAAAACACGAGTACGAAACTGATTCATATATAAGGAGCGATGTATTGAGAATCAATTTATTATAACATATTATCAGGTAGCATCGTGTAATTTATCAAAACTAAATATTATCTCGATTATCGGAAGACTATACTTCATATTAGCACAAAAAAACATTTAACATCTACGTAAATCCGAAATACTTCGGTTTTAATTGTTTACTTTCTAGTTGTGATCTTGTTTCGGTTTTATTATCTGTTACGCAGTCATGTTGGGCAACATGTTCTGTAAGTAGAATAGTTTTTGCTTTGCGGCTTTGATTTAATCAAAGATGAGTTCGATTTATAGAAAATAAATCGTTTCAGCTCATTCAGTAGCCGGAACGAGCACTATGTTTCAGTCGGGACAACTTAATGGATTTCTCGAGAAATTTAAGGAGATGATGGAAGAAGGAGATGAAAATCTTGGTATTCCGGTTCTTGAACCATTAGTGATGGAGCACCTGGATATAGATTGGAAGATAAGGACATTGTTCTCGTACGCATATGTTTCGTGTATTAATTACGGAAAGAGAATCAAATGACATTAACCGACATCGGTCTTCTTCTTCTTCAAACAGAGCAGAAGGATATCTAGAGAATTTACGCATAGATGGTTTGTCTAACTATACAGTACAGCGGGCTGATTTCACGATGGCCGATTTAAAAGGCAAAGTAACTCTTCTGTTCCACGAAATTAAAATTGAGACTGGCTACGATGTGACAGGTACATTCCTCGATGAAGATGTGGAGGGATGTGGAGACCTCGCGTAAGTTTCTTTCAATTATTTCCTTTTATACACGTTTTATACAATGAATATAATAGCTTAGCTAGCATGCAGAAGCGCGTAGATTTATAACACTCGATTCGCGCTTTATCTTCGATCTCTGTAAAACGTTTAGATATTTTTAGAAAACGAATACCTTTTTACTACACAAATAAACGCATCTTTTAATAAATCGGTAAAGCTTGGAAGCGCACCACCTTTCGGAAACACATTTATGATCCGTCGAGAACACACTCGCAGTCGGTTTTACAGTTTCCTAACGCTAGTAAAACAGTATTGCCGAAACGGACCAGCAACGCTCGGAGATTTCTTCAGTTTATAAATTGTGTAAACTACTCCTGACCGCCGATTAAAAAGGCAACTGCATTTTTTCTAACTTCAGCCTCCGCATTGAGAGACTTAAAGTGAAGGCGGACCTGCAATTAGAGATAAAGGAAGGGAGGCTGTACGTATCAAACCTGGAATTGCGGGTCAAAGTAAGGGAATTCGACGTAAGTGTTGTATATGATTACAGTGCCGATTTTGATGCAAATCGATGTTCTTATGGACGCAACTATAGACACAGAACCTAAAGAGGGATTTGCCTTATCTATAAAAATTACAACAAATACGTTCCTAAATACCACATAAATGCATAAAAATCCGCAGTTTATATATGATCCTGTAACAACTAGTGCTTCGGTGAACCTGAAAGTCCGAATGGTTAATTTTAAAATATTTCCAGTGTAATATCTCCGAATTATACGTCAACGATGACTTGTCCGAGGATATAAGCGAAATCATCACTGAGGAGGCCCCCAATTTCCTCGAGGAGAATCAAGATCTAATATCGCAATACCTGAGTAAGATGCTGAGGAAGTTGATAAACAATATACTAAAGAAACATACGGTGCTAAACTTGTTGGACATGATTTCCGGTTAATCGATAATTCTAAATACTCTTTCGTACTTCTAACAAATAAATTGTAGTAAACATAAAATCTCTGTTTATTTCCTTGCTCTATATCGAAAGAATTTACTGCAGTTCAATGATCAAAACGAGTGTGTCGAATACAAGCTGTGGCGGAAGTTAACCTTGGAAAATATTCGAGCTTTTAGCTGCGACTCCTTTCTTCGATCAGTCATTATCTCGCCACGGTAGATTAAGAAACGTTGCAAACTTTCCAGCAAGAAAGCGGCGATCTGAAAATTTGTTGGTAACCGATCAATTCTCGGATTTTCTTGTCCGCTGTTTCATCCGTTACGTTAACTCGTTGCCTTTCCTCCACTAATCCAGCCCAGATCTCCTAAATCCGCGATGCGCCTTTAATCGACGTAATTAGTTGAAAATCGATGGGAAACCGATGTACCGAGAAAGATAAACTCATTTTCTGCGACGAACGAAGGGAACAGTATTGCGATTGACTTTAGATTTCGTTGTTTCGACCGTTCGGTAACGAATATACAGGTGTCATCGAACTGATGGAACAAACCGAAAGAAGGCGGATCTTCATGAAAAAATAAGTCGATAAAGTAGAGTGACATTCTTTTAACCGAGGATTTGGTTCCGAGAAGGTCGAGTTCGAAAATTTGTCAACTATACTTGAATTTGGCTAATTATCGACAAGGTGTGAGTAAACAATCAATGGAATAAATAAGTGAAATAAAATTTTTTCATTCGGGGCATCATTTTTAGTACACCTCTAACGAAGTCTTAATTCACTTTTGTTGGAAACAATGCGTATTGTGAAAATGGCTTATTCCGCACTTTCGACTTATTTTTTCGTGTAGAATCAGTACTTGCTAGCGTGTATCATTAGTTCAGTAACGGCCTGTGTTCGGCTTCGTAAAGTTCGCATAACCTCCAAATGCAGAAACTAGGAGCTCTCTGTTTGAAAGGAATTTAATTATATCACTTATAGAAAAATGAACTATTGACTTATGCGGTCTCTTTGATATCAACTGCGAAAGCACGGTGTTCCGAGAGTAACTTGGGCCAACTGAACTTCAACGTGTACCTTCCTTTGATGCCGATTAGTTACGAACTGTCAAGGTGGAAATTTCGAGACGGACTAAAATAAAAGTTTTTAAAATGTCGTGACTCTTACAGGAGGTTACACGAAATATTTCTCCTCTTTATGGTGCACCACGAGTTGTGACAAGAGCAACAAGTGTCTGTTGAATGAAATTTATTTGTTGGTTATCGAATCGCGAAAGAAAAGATTCTTGCGGATTGTAATGGTCGACATTGTCGCCGTATGAAACTGTTGAAGTAATTACTTCTAGCAAAACTTTACATCTTTTTCTTTCGTATACCCGTGATCTGGACATCGCCGTTGCGGAAAAGATAGAATTCAGTGAAGCAAAATATTTAAAAAAGTAGAGGACCATATTATTGCGTCCTTGAATATGAATGTTGTTTTGGATTACAAGATCTAGAAACAAAAGAGTTATAAGT